CGATTCGGCAAATCAGATCTCGAAATACCGTTTGGGAATATCTTTCGGAAGACGTAATGTTCAAATAACGCCGTTGAAGGGAGTAGAGTTGGCAATCCATGATGCTCAGACAAGAGTTGCCAGAATCGTTGGAAGTCATGTAAATAAACCACGAACTCGAAATAGAATAGTATGCACGCTAATACTGGCGCTGGGCTTCAACGAACCATACTGTATAGGTGTGGTTCTGGGAGCTTAAGCCCAGAGGGTGTAGGACTAGCAGGCCTTGGCTGCAGGGTCTATCAAGAAATCCGGGGAAGACAACTTATTAATTATGGTAGCCAACGAGTATGAGACATATAGGGTGGTCTTAAGACTTTGAAAGACTTGCAAGCTCGCCTGTGAGATTAGGAGAGGTTCTGGCGTGGGATCTAAGACGGAATACCTAGAACTCGCAAGATTATGTAGATGTGATGCTCAGACGTGGTGAATATCATTTTTCGCTATAGCCATCATTCGTAGCGATACTTTACCAATATATTCTCCTTACTCCTACGTTGGCTGGGGAGTTCCTCAAGGTGACGGTTCCCGCAAGTTGCTGCCTCCTTAATCTCAACGAGCTTGTACATCGGATCATCTCTATAAGGAATGTAGTAACTTGCCATTGGACAGTTAGGAAGAAAACAGCTCCATTGGAGGTCTGGTCACATGGGTGGCTCAGGTGGTTTCATTCATCAGGTGGTTCTAACCTATCGAAGTCGGACTTGATTCCATCAACAAATGACAAGAGTTTCGGCGCGTTTAGGAAGTAGATCTCATCCCGAGATACACCAAGGAAGAATTGACTCTTACATACCCCTCGGAATGGCTGTTACGGTAATGTGTCGCCTTCCTGTGGATGAATGTCAATGCATTGTAGTATCCCCAGCCTAATTGTCAGTGTCGCCCACCCATTTGGTATCATATTTGCCTCCCATTTATTCTCGACAAATGGAATAACTTTGACCTTTTTCTATGCGAGCAGTATGTTCACTGACTGACAAAGTGTGAACGACACAAAACTGCCAGCAGAAGTACACTCGCCATCCCCTCACAAATACCTGTTCGTAGACATGTACCAAGTACAATCGATGAAAGATGCAAGTTATGTTACTTCTATGGAGTTTAATTGGGAAGAAACAACCTTTGTCGTGTTTCATCTTCATTGTCATGGACAAATGCATGTTGAACGAAGAGGCAATAAACAACATGTAACGCATCGAAGGACGATATCAACCCCAACGCTTCGCGGTGCTTCAAGAAAGAGGCCTCTCTATCCTTCAGTCATAAATGCATCTCATTATTATCTAGCTATTTCGTCGCCCAATCTGTCTCACTCAGTTACTAGATGTCAACAATTGGCTGCCATGGAGGCAAAAATGGGCCACATTAGCCACGAGTCAAGTTAGACTGGGCTGGGACACGTAGTCAATTTCCAACAGAATGACTGACTCATCGTCGCATTTTTGTACGAGGTCTGGAATGCAATCTATCGCTAGTCAGCCCAACTTCTCTCCTTACCAATCTTGCCCTGGCACTAACATCTCCGTCAACAATGGCTTCAACCCCCCAATACCAGATCAATGAGCCAACTAGCGCCGACTTTCAGGAATGGTCTGCGATGTTCCGGGCGTATATCGACTTTTACCAGGCTACCATTGATGAAGAGCAATACAGACGAACCTTTAATCGCATCCTTGACAAAGAGAATGACCTCCAGGCCCTAGTCTTAAAGAGGACTGTCGATGGAAAGGAGTCGATAGTGGGCATTGCCCATTTCTTCCCCGAGCAAACGCCGTGGAGCGAGAAGCAAATCTTGATGCTTAATGGTAAGCTTGCCCAACTACAATCTGAGGTTCAAGGATATGGGTTATATGTTACAGGCCTGTTTACCACAGTACCCATGTCCTAGCTGCTTCAATCAGTAGAGAGTGATGACCCCAACGCTAATCTTGAACCAGATTTGTTTGTTGATCAATCCGTTCGTGGCCAGGGTCAAGGACGCAAGCTCATTGAGGCGGTCGCCGAGATTGCCAAGAAGATGGGTTGCTTGCGCCTACAATGGCTCACAAAGCATGACAATACTAAAGCACGCGGTCTATACGACACGATGGCCCAGACCTCGTTCGTGCAGTATCGAATGAGTTTGGATTGATGGGAGTTGAACTCTCGAGGCAGGCAATTGACTAGAGTTATTCCTCACTTGAATAGAGCTCTCTGCTTCAAGAGGTATCGTTCAAGCATATCAATCATCCAATTTATCTAAACGGCACGTACATGCGTTTAAAGGTTGAACCAGCACTCGACAGTAAGGCTTCATCATGTGCGTGATGATGTTTTTATTTAAATCATGACTGATGAGATAGCTCTCGTTGATATTCGAAATTTCTCGCCATTCTACGGCCATGCAGATGGAAATCCTCCATGCGTTGAAAACTCAAGAATCCTCACGCAAATTCACCGCCCTCAATCTATTTCCGAGAGCGAGCCGAGGGAAGTTCGGGAATACGTTTATGCACAGCCGGACTTCAATCTCTTCGTTGTGTCCATTGATCCGTGATTATGCGAACACGTGGTTGAAAGCTGTCCGAGGACAATGGGGAACACGGCTGGTGATGATGCAACGTGTTGTACTAATGGGACGATCCAGACGGAGCATTCCGATAATTAAAGATGCATAACTCGACTTTGGCTTGGGCTAAATTTATGAATCACAAGTGGCATAAAAAGGGAGCGCTTCGGCAATACCCACGCACGAATCATAAACAGCGAGGCTTTCCGTCCATCGCACGTCGCTTAGCGGTGAGTACCGTGCCGCCTCGGTTATGCTATGGCTGAAATGCCTCAGTCCTCTCTGCATGCATTCAAAGGATGGACAAGAAAGCAAACAATTCGCGGTGTGAGTCTTGAGCGTCCATCATAGGCTCAGCAGAAGCCGGGATGTTGGACCCTTGTCCCACTAGAGCTCCGCCCAAAGCGGAGTCGCTTCAGCCGCTGAAAACAGAATGGTTAAGGGGGTTGACTTTGCTAGCTCATTTCATTTTTTTCTCCGACTTGGACCCTTTACGTTGCTGCCAAGGAGAGTTGTTCAAACTGTCAGCCGTTCTCGTCCTTGAAGCTCGTTCCCTCCCTTCTCATACGACTGTGATGCCATGAGCTGAACGTTGGCCCGTCTACACTAACTACACCCCGCTGCCAGCTGCTCACAGACCACCGCCGCCGCGATGGACAAGTACATTGTTTTCGACAGGCAGCTCACCAAGGCGGACCTTGTGGTGTTGCAGAGCCTCACCGAGGATCTGAGGGAGCACACACGGAAAGAAGGCAGAGATGGTGCTGCCAAGGCCAATGGCAAGACGTTGAATGCGTCAACTCCCGATGCCGACGCCAAGGCATCAAATGACGGCACATCACCAAACCAGCATGGTGCGTACGCTCTGTCGATCCCCCCCATCACCCACATGCAGCCATTGACAAGTGATTTACCCCCTATCAGCCAACCAGCTCTCATACGAAGAAGCTGTGCGTCACCTTGAGGCATTGAACAACCCCAATGATGCTCATTTTGAGCCGACCATCATCAACAATCTGGATCTTGACCAGATCAAGCTGCCTCCTGTTCTCGACAAGCTTCTTCTACGTCCTTTCATCCGCATCGCGCGCTCCCTCGTCCGCGTGGAGACGGATGTCATTATGCTAACACATCTTCTGCTTTACGTCTTCACTTCCATTCCCAGCGCTGTTTTCCTCTTCTACAACTTCACTTGGATTCATGGCGTCTTGCATTTTGTCATGCAAATCTCCTACATGGGCACCTACACCCTCATGATGCACCAGCATATCCATATGCGTGGCATCCTCCACAAGCGTCTTGCCCTTTTTGATCACATTTTCCCATATATCCTGGATCCTCTTATGGGCCATACGTGGAACTCCTACTTCTACCATCACGTCAAGCACCACCACATCGAAGGCAACGGACCCAATGATCTGTCTTCAACAATCCGATACCAGAGGGACAGCCTTCTTCACTTCTTGCACTATACTGGGAGATTCTTCTTCTTCATCTGGGCCGAGCTCCCCTACTATTTCCTTCGTAAGGGCAGAGCTTCGCTAGCATTCAAGGCGGCGTTCTGGGAACTCTCGACCTATGCTTCACTATACACACTCTATCGCATCAACCCACAAGCCACTGTCTTTGTTTTCCTCATCCCCCTGTTTCTTCTTCGACTTGGTTTGATGGCTGGCAACTGGGGACAACATGCATTTGTCGATGCAGATGAGCCAGATTCTGATTATCGATCAAGTATCACACTCATTGATGTGGCTGTAAGTTTCTTTAGGCCTGTCAACTCATGCTCTCCGTGCTAATCTTTCTACAGAGCAACCGACATTGCTTCAACGATGGATATCATACCTCTCACCACCTCAACCCTATGCGCCATTGGCGTGAACACCCGGTCTCCTTCTTGAAGACCAAGCACATCTATGCCTCTCAGCAAGCCCTGGTCTTTCACGACATTGATTATATGATGGTCACTGTGAGCTTACTGACGAAGAATTATAAGCGACTGGCAGAGTGCTTGGTTCCAATTGGTAGTCAAATGTCATTGAACATGGATGAGCGTGTCAAGCTTCTGCAGAGACATACTCGGAGATTCTCCGAGGAAGAGATCAAGCAGAAGTTCAAGACGCCATAGTCTTGCAACGGTGTCGGTAGTTTCGGCTGTACTTGCTAAGCCTAAGCATTCTGACAATGTTTTGTTCAATGCCTGTTCATACAATACGAAGCTTTTCAACCGAGGAGCATTATCCTGGATGTCAAACAAGGGACAGACGGGGGTAGAAGCATAGGAAAAGAAGACGCATCAGTCTATAGTACAAGGCTAAATCGCCTTCATACATACTTTTTGTAATAAGTGCATTAAACATAGCTTTCTATGACTTTCAAGCCCTCGCACAGCATGCTCGAATGAGAAGCCCTATGCGAGTCTTCTTGGCGTATCGAAAGATCCCCAAGCCTCAATTAAGAGGGTTATAGATGGAATATGAGCATACTGATCTAATAGTCTAGTTCGAACCACTACCCGTCTCATGTAGGTGCATAGCTTTCTACACCATTGTGTCATGAAGCCAAACCCAGTTGAATAGAAGAGCCCAACCCGTTGTGATGAGGGCACATACAAATGGCTTCCACACATCCCTTGCCATTGGCATTGCCCCCTTTAACCCAGTAGCCCTTTCTGTCAACTCCATCCTCTGGTGGCCAGAACTGCTTGCTCACAGGCTTCTGTAACCACGTGTCGGTCCAGGGATATTTAATTTTATGCCCTGATACCGCGCTCGTAATAGAAACTCTGAGATGCTGCATTTTTTCGCTTTGAGTCACAAACGTGTCCAGGGCATTGAGCAGGGTGTGACAGCCTAGATAGTCTGGATGACCAATGCGGATCTTGAGGGCAAGATAAAGACGGAATGTGTTCGGAAACGCAGACCCAAGTATGGATAGCATAGTCTCCAGAGGATCTAGCTGAAGCAAATATTTTTTGCTCTCCATCTTTCCCAACTCTAGGGGCAGTACGACCTCTAGTGACGAAATACTGGCAAGCCTAGCGGGGAGCAAAAGTTGTGGTAAACGACCTAGAAACTCCTGGGTCGAGATGTGGAAAGTGTTCGTCCCATAGAGCACTGCAATGCCTTCGACGTATCTGTCATCCAGACAAGTCAGCAAGAATTCCAATAAGAAACCAACATGGGCATATGTTTGCCCAACTCACGCCTGTCTGCAAGCCAATAGCCAGCCCATAACACCAATCAAGCATTTCGACGGTGACTCTCCGGGCCAGAACTCGCAATTTTGCCCCAACCCATCAAGACAGTGGTCATCTCCGGCGTCTGGCTCACTCGCATAGGGCTCATCTCTAGTTCGTAGTGAATGTTCACGGCGATCGGGTCGACAACGATGACATATGCTGCTTCGCCAGTGCCAGCGTTTTGATTTGTGGTAGTCTGGTGCCCATTTCCAAGGCCCGTTCATGTAATCATGAGGCCATGCTGAAGTCCGCCAATATGGGAAGGGAGTCATCGGGTGATCGAAAGAAAGGTCCATGTGCAACGTGCGGTCGCCGAATGCCAACACCAGGATCTCATGCCTTATCTCGGGAGGTAGCTTGCTGAAGAAAGGAGGGGCTTGCATGAGGTTCTCGCTCGAAGCCGAGGGGGTGACAGCATGACGTCGTCGCTCGGAGAGATAGGGAGGAATTTTATTCTTGCCGAGAACAACGTCCAGCCTGGATTGAAGCCAGCCGCCGAGTTTCGTTTTCATGATGAATATGTAGTGTGCAATGAGTTATGAAAGAAGGGAAACTCTCTAAAGATGGCAGCAGGAAAGTTATCTGACAATTCATTCTAGGCAGCAAATAGTAGGTGTAAGAATGATTATGGAAGCTCGTGTACAAAGCGTGATCCCTCTATCGTGCTCTATTAATAACTCGTAGTGATTACACTTTGTGAGGATATGCGGCCACTCACAGAAGCAGAAGTAGGTGGATTAACGTTGATCCGACATCACTCTCCGTGCACTCTTTATGCACGCATAGCCAGCCTACACGCCATTGCTCACCACTCATGTTCTCAAGAGTTGTGCCTCAGATCATGTTCACAATTGTCTACCTACCCGACTTCATTGTCTTCTACCCCCTTTTCTGTTTTCATTTCTAATTTCTTAGTCGAATAAATTCAACTCATCTTCCAGTACATGATGTCTGCCCGCCGCGGTGAGTATTATTGAATTCATCATTAGCAAACTACCTACCCTACTGTCTCGATTCTCTTAACGAGATTCTCTCAATGACAATAATTTGACGAGATCTATATGAACTTCGGAGACTTATTGGAGACAATTACTAATTCCATCAAAGTCATGAGACTATTGCTCTTGTCCTTTCACATTTGCGGCATCACCATATCCTTTGCTGCGACCGAAAAATGCCGATATATAAATATGTGCTTTGCATCTTTAACATGACCGGTGACTAAAATTAAGATACCTCACAGGTCTTGAATTTGCTTCCATCAAGCGTGTTGCCGGTAGATGAAAAACAATTTCCTTCAAGCGTCCGTTTCGGAGGCTTCAGCGATTTGGCGTTGTCGCTGCTTGGTAGAACTCAAGGCTGGAGTTTTTTTTACTCTTCCCTAGTACTAGTACTAGCTTCTCCATGACCAGGAGTTCCAGTAGGTGATATGGAGAGGGTGAAAAATATCGCTTGATTGGAAAGCTGGTCAGGGAGTTGGCTGTCGGAGTTTGGAAAACGGTGATTTTCCGTAGACCACGGATGCCCAGCCAGCGCGTAATTACGGACCCCATTACTCAGCCAGTGAAATAAAAGACCCATGCTTACCATTTTCTTCATTTAACGCTTGTTTTTTGGGCGTCATTGTACTGTCGGACCAATGACGAGTTGAGCATCAACATGGAGGTATCGGAGTTAAGATGAAGACACCGACACCGGCTTGGTAATTCACAATACCAAAGGAAGTGGACGGGGCTGCTTCATGGCATGTAAATTCAGTTAAAAAGATGGGTGATGAGCTGTAGGTCAACAAATCAACAAATCAATCAACGGGCAACATGATGTCGCTTCACCTCTTGTCCCTCCTGTTGGCTGCTGTTCCAACCACAGCGGCACCATCTACTCAACATCACGTTTCGCCAGTTACGGTAAATACAAGCTCTGGTATCTTTGCACCTGTTTTCACCGATTCGCAACCCAAAGTTGCTTCGTTTTTGGACATTCCCTACGCTGAAAACCCCATTGGACCTCTCCGATTTTCACCGCCCGTCGCGAAAAAGCACGCAGGAAAAGAGGTCGCCAAAGCGACCAAGTTGCCTACTGGTTGTCTCCAGTATGTTCTACCGAATCTCAGAGGCACCATCACGGACGGCCCCGTTACCGCTGCCTCATTTCAGCGAGGAGATTACTCCAACACAACGGAGGATTGCCTCCGACTCTCCCTGTTTGCACCCAAGAGGACAGTTGAGGAGACGGTATCGACAGCTTACACACACCATGACTCTTTACCTGTCATAATTTGGATTCATGGTGGGGGGTATAGCTTCGGGGGTACCAACGTTCCTTTCCAGCTCGCCTCTAACTGGGTTGAACGCAGCCAGAGACATATAGTTGTCCAAGTTCAATACCGTCTCAATCTCCTTGGTCTCCCCAATGCTGCTGGTCTAGCCAAAGATGGAAAGAATTTGAACTTGTCTTTTCTTGATCAACGCCTCGCCGTTGAGTGGGTGCGTGACAATATCGCTCGGTTCGGCGGGGATCCCTCCCGCATCACTCTTTGGGGAGAAAGCGCAGGAGCGTACTCTGTGGACAGCTATCTGTTTGCTTGGCCTCGAGATCTCATTATCAAAGGCGTCATTGCCGACTCAGGAAATGCGGTGGCCATTGAAAGCATCTTGTCTGACTCTAACAACCACAGTGCATTCTCAGTGGCTGCGAGACGTCTTGGATGTGGCGGTTTATCACCCAAGGAGGAGCTAGAGTGTATGCGTCAGATGCCCGAATCCAAGATCAAGGCGTATTTGCAAGCAGATATTGGCAAGGGAGGTGCCGCTGATGATGGGTTAATGTTTGGAACCATTGCGGACAACGTCACCATCTTTGCTAATTACACCGAGAGAATCGGAAAGGATCCTTCCAAGTACCCAACTCACATTCCCATGTTGATCGGCACCAATGCCAACGAAGGAGCCGCAGTCGTCCCATACGACTTTGAAGGGAGCAAAACCGCAACTGAACTACCTGGCGACCTTGCCAAGATAGCTCAGGGTTTTGGACTGAATCTCCAATGCACAACGCTGAAAGAAGTCAGGCTTCGCTCAGAGGCTGGGGCAACAACATACCAATACCTTTACGCTGGCAACTTCACCAACATCTCACCTCTGCCATGGCTAGGGGCGTATCATACCGCCGAGCTGCCTCTAGTCTTTGGCACATACGAAATTGACGGGCCATCGACTCCCTTTCAGAGACGCGTTAGTAAGCGAATGCAGGACCTCTATCTCAAGTTTGCTATCGATCCAGCACATGGACTGCAAAAGGCTGGATGGCAACGGGCAACAGAGGAACTGGACAGGTCTAGGATTGTTGAGTGGGCTGCAGATGGCAAGGTTGAGCAAGCGTTGAGTGCCAAGGGCCTCCGAGATGAGTGTATCAGGAATGGCTTCGCTGTGTAGATCTCTACAAGCTAAAGCCACTATGGGTATCTAGCTCTACATTTAGCAGTCAAGTCCGAAATGTACCACCCTGGAACCCTTTACTTTTGTTTTCTTGTGATACTCTTGAAGCCATCGTCACCTTCCTATCTGGTATTCGGAAGCCTGCCTCGGCCCAGTGTGGTCTAAGCAGGAGGCTTTGAAACAAAGGGTCCAGGGATCCCGCGATAGAGTCTTGAAAATCTTGCCAGATGTGGCTCGATATGGCCGTCCATAGCCTTAGAGTTATTTCTCCGCTGTCGGGAGAACTGCCCATCTGAAAGTGTTTCACCGAGAACCAGGATCTTCCACCAATGGACAGTTCTTTGCCAAGCATTGATCCCAGTTAGGTATTAATTAGTCCGAAGTCTATCCTGGGCGATCGCTATAGACCGTCAGTTTGGTTTCAATGGCACAGGAGAGAACAATGATGACTATTTGGAGGACTGTTAACCGTAGCGCCCGTCTGACACGAAGACGGACGATATCTTCCATGCCCATGCTTATCAGTGAGTACTAAGAGCTTGTATGGTCAGCGAATGACCCTCCAAGAGAACAAGTCAGGGTACTTCATGTACAGACCCCAATTGGATATTCATTGGTGACCGCCATCATTGCTGATGGAGTGATGGCCGTGACCGCTACTGGCGCGATTGTAGACATGCGGAATTGTGTAGTATCGACGGAAGAACGGTGGCCTTAACAGGGTTGCATCAGCAAGAAGAGGCAGGGATCGCATCAACCTGACACAGGTAGTCCCGCAGGGGCCAATCGGAGCCATGACGGTAGTTATTCCACACGAGCGGATGAAACGAAGAAATTGAAAGGGATAAGATCGAAGAGCGGCAATGCAGTTGCAGGGGTCAGTGAACATGATATAAGTAGGAACCACGCCAGAGTGAAACAAGTTTATCAGTAGACACAGGATACAGTTAGACTTCAACTGATATCAGCCTTGTACTTCGCCATCTATTCCCATACTTCATCACTAGCCCTTCCAGTCTCACCACCATCGACATTGAAGCCTCTCGAAATCCGGATAGCCAACAAGCAAAGAACATGCGTTTCTCTATCCTGACTGTCGCTCTGGCTTACGCCTCGACCGCCTCAGCAGCTTTGAGCTGGTCGTTGCAAAAGGCCTCCAACCCAACCTCGGACCAGACTGATGCATATGGACGAATTGAGGAGGCCATGCGTCGCGCCGTGGCACGATATGGGCGCTTCACCGACGCCAGCAAGACTATCCGTGTCTACTACGCCCCCGGAGTTCCCACTGCCGAAGCAAGCTACAACGGAGATCTCCGCTTCGGTTCAAACCGGGCTTACATGACTGAGCGGACGGCAATGCACGAGATCGCTCACACCCTGGGTGTTGGACAGACGGCTGCCTTTGACCAAAAGTGCGCAGCCAACAACTGGCCTTCTGCGACCCGTCTCCTTCAGTCTTTCGACGGACCAAATGCCCGTATCAACTGCGGCGGCGGTCACTTTTGGCCATATGGTCTCAACTATGACAACGAGTGGAGCGAGACCAACGCGAACCGACATGTGCAGATGATTGATGCTATGCTGGCTGATGGAATGTAAGGGGACCAGGCGGGACTGTTGTGAAGGAGCTTGTGATTGAACACGAATGAATGACTTGAATTATTTTGAATGCACATTATTCGACATGATACTAGATTGAAACCTCGAGTGCAGTGTCTTGCGTGAATGGCTCACTCAAGTAGATAAGCGATGAGAGCCTCGCTCCAAATCATCTGGAGGTCATTGGCTACTTTGATGGTAGCAACGAAGGCACAGAGAGAAAGCTCTATAACGGAAACTAACACAAAACACTAAAACTAGACGTGATTGTTTGTATTCGTAGGTACAAGGCTTTGGCGAGGAGGAGTACTATCAGGTCCAACATTCAATTAATTAGGCCGAACAGTCAGGCAAACAGGCAACCACCGGCTGCATTAATGTTGTACTGCCCCCGAAATGATTCCTCATCATGCTGACTGGAAGCTAATCTAGCTGCCTAGACGCAGAATCTCACTGGTATAAAACGCTTTATTACACCCCTAAGGGAAATTTGCTTGGTTTCAATCGTACATCATCCCAATTTGGGATACTCCTCCATGTCCTCTTGCCTCCGTGATTCGCAATGGACATCCTACACGATGAGAGCCTCAATGAGCTCCCACCTCAAACGTCCTCCGCCGGTGCGTTAGCCACAGAGAAGCTATCCAAATTTCTCGACCAGCAAAGAAATGCACATCTAGAAGAGAATTTTGGACAAGAGAAGGGGCTCTCGCGGGTGAAATTGGCCACTCAGCTCCTTTCCTTGGACACGACCATCAGCAATAGGAGTTCAAGTATCCCTGAAGAGATCCCGGAAAATACTATCGGCTTTCGCAAGATTGGATTCGGACAGTGCGGTCTCGTTTTCGAATGGCCTGGCCGAGAGATTGTAATCAAAGTGGCTAGACCGGGCTTTCAGGACGCCCTCTGGGTCGACTACGAAGCCCATAAAGCTGTCTACTCTGCTTTCTTGGCACAGGGAAATGTCACTCAGTGTCGAGTTCCACGGGTATACAACCACATATCAAAGGAGAACCGGTGGTGGCGGGAAAACAAGGGGCTGTTCACGGAACAGCACGACGATTTTCCCATCCCTGCTTCGGCACTCACTTCAGAACATATATTGCCCTTGGCTGGAGTTATACGAGAAACATTAGTCGACAAGTACTGCCCTCGGAGCATGCAACAAGCCGCACTGAAGAACTCCCTGAACCGCGATTGTCTGGCTCGGGTCTACCTGGGCCGACGACGCTCGCCTCACCAGCCTCGACAGGTGAACTTTTCCCTCAGAAATTTCAACCTGTGTCTTGATCAAATGATGGACCTTGGCCTCCCCGTTTCATCATATGCATCGGCGATTGGCGAAGCACTGGCAGTAATCCACTGGGCTGCCAACGTGGATGGGTACGATGTCGAGTTTGTTCTGGGCAGCGAGGCCATTGTTGGTTTACAATCGCCGAAAACTCCTTCTTTGCATACTACTCTAGAGCCCCCTTGGACCGCAACTGAAGACAGGAGAAAGACTACTCGAATCTGGGTGCTCGACTTTAACTTGTGCACCCAATGGGAGGAGAAAACCGGATGGGAACAACCCGAGGCCCTGGTTGAGCAACTCGTGATGGCGTTTTTCGAAAACGACCCGTACTACCCGTTACCACTGATGGATGATGACCTGGGCAAGCAACTCTGGTCTGTCTTCCGGGATAGTTACTCGACCAAGGCGGAAGAGGTTCTAGCAGAGAAGGACGAGAGGCTGAGGGCGCTTCCACATACATTCATCGAAGCCTGTATTGAAAGGGAGCGGCAAAATATCGATAATGGACTGGGACATGGGTATCGCCAACACAAGGGGTAAAATTATCCAACCAACTTGCCATGGCATTAGGCGTCGAGCGCAAGCGACATGGACATGTCAGAACCACAGTATAGGACAGTGAGATCAACCTGCCTAGTGAGACATCGAAAAATGCCATCAGTGTTGTACTAGAAGCAAAATCGTTGGAGGATCATTCTAGAAATGCACGCCAGTCTCGAAGCACTTCGCACTAGCTCATATACACAATAACGTGTACACAATGACACTAGTTTGAGCAAAGCAAGTCAGCCTGTGTTGAAATCATGCCCAGTCAAGAGATGACCATTCGATTCCACCGTCTGAGTACTCGTCCGGGATTGCAGGTTCAGGGCGATCTTCGGAGGATGCAGCATCTCGACGATGGCCCACAGATATGATGTTTGGGTCGTCTTCCAATGTCGCAGCTTTTGCACAGTCTTGCAAAGAACTGATGTCGGGGAAATCCTCCAAGAAAGATATGTCTGGAAACTCGTCTGGGGATCCAGCATCTGGGCGATCTACCGCGAGTGTAGCATCAGGACTCGTTTGAGGCAAGATGGATTGGCGTGGAAGCAAGGGTTGGCTTGGCCGGTTTTCTTCAAGCCCCAGCAATAGCTCCCGTGCAAAATGTTTCCTGAAAAAGGCCCTCACTTGCTCATTTCCGGCACTGCCCATTGCCAACGTTTCAAACTTGCCCACGAGTTTGAGTCCCCGGAGACTAGTCGCCCTCGACAGGGCGACATAGGCTTGGCCTTCCTCGAATACCTTTGACAAGTTGATAATGACACGGTCCATCGTCATCCCTTGACTTTTATGGATAGTCATGGCCCATCCGGCGACTAGCGGAATCTGCGTGCGGTATAGAAGAGAGTAGGGCTCCCTGTCTCCGAGAGACGTGACGATACACGTGGGGAAAATGGTGCGCTTTTTGCCATTGTGGAAGCGGACTCGTGGCCATTCCTTCACCCCCTGTCGATCCGCAAACTTTTGGATCTGCTCCTCTCTGAGCCCTGCATGTTTCCCCCTAAGAGCCTGCCAAGGAGGAACACTGTCATCAGAGCGTTGAGCTTTCGGGAGCTTCTTTTCGTTGAATTTCTCGAAACCGCAAATGATGCCTTGGCTTCCGTTGCACAGCCCTGCCCCAATGTCAAGGTTGATTTGCAGGACAACGACCATCCCGAGCTTCACAGAAAGCTCTCGCCTGAGGCGATGATCTTCCAAGCTCTCCAGAATGCCATCACAAAGCCGCTTGAATTTCTCCTTTAGATGTTTATCCCTGTGATCGATCCATCGATAATCGTCGAAGCACTGGTATCGTCGTGGACGCGTCTTCAACTTCTCGAATTCGAATGTATTAACCTCGTCAACTTCGGCATTTGTACACAGAAGCGTGGTCGCATTGGCGGTGTCGTTGGGATGGTCTATGAGCACCTGCATCTCGGCTGGAGAGATGGCATGCCCAAGTCGGCATTTCTGTAGCATTCGAATAAAGTGCGCGTCGTTCTGGCGATGAATTTGATTCAAATGTCTGTGGGTGAAGTTGGCTTCTTTCCAGGCAGAGCTCATGAATGCCCATTTGTTTTTCTCTAGGAACGGGCCATGCTTGTTCTTGCAGTTAAACACCTTGGGAATTTGCTTCTTTTTCGGGTCATACATCTCTTGCCCACACTCCACGCAGTGTTGGAAGGGATGGACCGGGGGGAGTTGACAGAAGTCGCCAGTGACGATGAGTTGAACTCCCCCAAAAGGGCGGTCTGCGTTCCAGCTTTGGGAGATGCCCCTTACCCTTTTCAGTGTCTTGTTGATTCGCTCCAGAAAATTGCTCGAGACCATGCTAATCTCGTCGATGATGAGGACTTGAGTTTGCCCCAAACGCTTCCTGCTATACGGGCTACTTTTTGGCGGTTTCCCCTCCCTCTCTTCTGGGGGTTTCTGATGGTACTCGAGCCACTTTCTTCCGTGTCTTGTTAGATCAACGAGGTCATCCATACATAGATTGTCATCCTCAGGTGTCCACCCCAGATAGTTCGAGAGCGTCCTCGCACCGACCTGGACAGCCGCTGAACCAGTGGGTGCAGTAACCCAGAAGACTATGTTCGGGTTCTATTCTAGTTTTTCCACTATGGCTTTCAAAACAGTGGATTTGCCACAGCCAGCTGAGCCAGTGAAGAAGATATTGGGTGGGTGCTCCTCGTCAAGAAGGTCGACAATCTCCTGCTGCTTCGCGGAAAGCGTTGGTGCGGCTTCCAGCGGCCCGACGACCTCGTTGGACACGGCCGGATCTAGGACTCCACTATCCATCTATACATTGCCATTCAACGGTGAGTAATGAGGGATGCTTTAGTGGATTTGCTGTGCATCGCCTAGCTACTTGTCGCCATCGGGCTCAGCAGGTTTGTTCCCCAGCAGCGGGCTAGGTCGGGGATTCCTAATAGGCAAAGTAATTGGACCTGGTGCATCCTGGACTGAAGCAGAGGGGATGGTGATGAATGAGGGCCCACATGGTGGTGGTCGAGGTGCGGTTTCAGCGTCGTCTTCGCGCTTCCTTTTCTTGCTAGGAGTGGGACCAGGGAGGAAACTAGTAGTTGGTTCCGTGGATGGTTTGGTAACCTCATGAGAAACAGGGGATAGCATGCCCTGTGCGGGCTTCGACCGAGGGCCCCTACGTCTGGGTCGCCGCATAATCGTAAGTAGTCAAAATCTGGACCCATTAGCAAATGGTGTCATTGGAACAGGTTTCTCATTGGGTAGTTTACTGACAAGTGGTGTATCAGGATCGAATAACTGAGACAAGGTGTTGGTCATGCAGTGTGGCCTGCTGTCTGTTGGCGCATTGTTCAATGGTGAAAGGAGACGCGCGGGTGGAAGAAACGCGTCAGATGATCACGTGATATACCACTACGGCAGCCCCCAAAACACCATCTTGAGACTTATGCATTCTTTCATTCTTTCATTTCTTGGCTCAATGAAAAAGTATATGTAGTGCAGCCTCAAGACCCCACGATACAAATCCACCCCCGCTGATCAGACCTGCCGGACAAAACGCTCCTTATGAGACTTGATAAGCTGCGACCGATCCAACACCTCGCCAGTTGAAGAGCGGATGAAGTCAACCTGCAGCTTCTGTGCATCCATAAACCGAATCGTGGCATAGCTAAAGTCGTCTGCATATGCAAATGTATTCAAGGGTGTTGTCTTTCCAACACTGCTCAAGCCTTCAATGTTTCCCGCGCCTCCAGCAACAATGTACATGGGTGCCTTTGGATTGCTCATGCCTGCAGGGTCTAGGGTTCCGTTGTATGCAGGATAAAACCGCTGGGAGTTGTGTACGTGTCCGAAAACGCCGAGGTCCACGCCGTACTTGTAAAAAATGCTCTCGAATGCTTTTTGGCACGGTTTGCATCCTTCATCGCCCGTTGTGTACCATGGCCGATGCCCCGCGACAACGACCCAGGGAGTGACGTCTCGGTCAACAGATGCGAGATCCGCCTCGAGAAACTGAAGTTGTTGGTTAGGGCTACCAAAAGGTCCGCTGTTAAGATTAGCAGATCCCCCAGGTGCGTCAGGGGCATCAGGAAAGTCCGTCTCGGTGTCAATCATAACCACATGGACCATGCCATACTCGAAGGAGAACCAAAAGGGTGGGTTGGCGAGCTGCTTCGCCTTGTTTGCATTGACCCTCGCAGTGTCATCTGGTGATGTCGATGCGAATGCCTGAGGCATCGTCCTTCCGAATCTATTCATGAAATCGGTAAAGTTCTTCTGGCCCTCTGGACAAAGAAGATTCAGCAATGGCACTTCTTCGCAGGCTGCCTCGTGGTTTCCAGGGCTGACCATATAGGGTTTCCGGTCGGCGATGGGCGCAAGCTGATTGTAGAATTCCTCAAGGATGGCTTGATAAGCCTGTTCTCCATGAAGCAAGTTCTTTGGCTTCAGGAACCAGTCGTCGGCATAGGCCAGATCACCTGGATGAATGATGAATTCGTAGTCATCGGCCGTAGACGCAAGGCGGCCAATCGTTGTATGATTCAGTGAAGGTTGTATGTTGGGGATCACGTCTCTTTTGGATTCGTCCATGTTGATCGTGAATCCATCTTCTCCATAAACACCCAGGTCAATAATGGCGTTGATGGAGAACGGAGTCTTGTCTCCGGCCGTTCGAGGGCTGAAGAACTGATCAATAGAGGAATTTGTTGAGGTGATTTTATAGTAGTAGGTTATTGCTGGCTTTAGACCAGTGAGCTTTACTGCATTGGCCCAGGTACGTGAGGTAGGATAGGTGATTGAAGTATCCGAACAAGCCTCCTGGTTAAGCAGCTTTCTTGAAGTGCCATATTTGACGCAAGGTCTGCTTTGTTCGGAATATGTATTCCACCCTATCGTGACACCTTTAATGACTCGTAAGCAAAAGTCCAAGCAGCGCGGTTTGGTGACTTACTGTGCTGCCCATCTAGAGACAGACGTTGCTGAACTGGCGTCGACAAATCCGAGGGTATGGCTGGAAGGCTGGCCTTTGATAGAGCGGCCCCTATCAGGAGTGAAACGCTCACGATGCAACTGTAAGAAACCATTTTGTCGAGTCAACTGTGCATTTACAGATTCGTCTTCATCTCATGGACTGAGCTTGTGAGTTATATGCATATCAGACTGGACATCGTCTCAAGCACATTGCGTGCCGTGTATCCGGCGTCCTGGTTTAGTTAGTTTCGGTAACCTTTCTGTTCAGGACAATTGCCGTGCTCTTGTTCCACATTTCGAGTAGTTTGGCTCGGGATCTATGATATCGCATGTGAAACTGATAGGCCTCGTGCTTATTGAACGTCGTGTAATTGGTCCGTCGAGTCGGTCAGCGATCGTGGTAAATGATCGACGCGACAGGGCCTCTAGTTAAGGCTAGTTTACTTGTTTTCTTCGGTGAACGTCCCGGGAGCAGTCGAACGCGAAAAGAATTTCGTGTTCAATGTTAACCAAGCCGAGGTTCAAGGCCTCGTTCAGGGGGTAGAGTTCGGTGCTCACGCTTGTCTTGACCCTCTCTCTTTGTGCGTGGCCAGATAGTGTATGAGGCCAACATTTAGCGGGATCCCTGGGCTGATATGCGTCAAATCTTGATTTAAATTCCCGGTTGCCGCGGCCAATGAGGTAGGGCGCAATCACTAGAGATCAGGTGCGCCATTAGAACACTCACTGGGGGCACCGGTTTTGTCCGCTCCATAGAAAGATTATCGCGATGTTTCTCTCTTCTTCATACAGACCTAATCTTTGTGGCCTTGCATTGATAAAACTCCTAACGAACTGTACTGATCCAAAGCCTGGCGTTCCAGGCCCTCATGGAATCCCCCTTGCGTTGCCAGATCTTTGAACTCGAACACATCGTCAATGTCACCAAGGCCATACGAAGACTATCAAATCGGTCTAAACGAGATTTCGAGAGAATTAATTCATGACTTCTCAAATTGGCTTGGCTTGTCTCCCAGTGTTCTCTGACGCTCTTTCACGGTACCTTCACTTCCAAGACTAAGACAGCAGGGGAGAGAAAGGCTGAGCGTATTGTAGGTAATTAAATGTAATAATTAAAAAGAATCAGGCGTAGAGTAGCTTCTTCAGCCTCATAGAACGGACAATCGGATCCAAATCCTGTAGAGGGAGGGGCATCTCAACACAAGGTGAGCGTTTACGGTTCGACGCTGGGATCCCAACTTGCCACCCTTGGCTGACATCGATTTGTCAAGGAAGATGGTCTTTAGTTTAGGAATACATTAAAAAAGGAACACTAAGAATGCCAGACGGATCGATAGATAACTTAAGATAATGGGCGACTAACCATAGCCTTAGAGACTATAGTAGCTGCCGATGGGTACAAAAAAGGATCCCGATGCTTGAACTAAACCATCCAATCAGAGCAAGTAGATGCAAGCCCATACCCATCTCTATGGCCTGGTTTATTGTTTCATTTATCCGTCCCACCTCCAGAGGAACTCATCTCGCTAATTGAGTAGTGAGCGCCTCCCACATCAACAAAGTATCCAGTTGGGTCAAGTCAACACATATTTAGTGTCACGGATGGACGTCATTTGTAACTCATACGAGCTACCAATCGATTCACGATTTTCAGTCTATTTCCACTCAATATCTAGATCTCGGCGTCGGTGTCCGGCGCCGAGCACCCCTCCTCCTCCATGGGGATGTGGGGATGGAGGATCGGCACCCCAGCGTAAACGTGCGGGGAATATCTCGGTTACATGGCGAGGAAAGGTTTTGTCTCGCTTCCTTTTCCTTCTCTCAACTTGACTGTTGCAATTTCTTTCATTTCTCATCTCAGGACTTGTCAGCATAGCTATCGAGATGCCTTCCACAACCAACATCGACACCCGCGTCGATATAGCTGATGACCTAGCAGCGGTCGAAAAGGTAACACCAAGCTCTTGTTCAAGCCAGCCAAGCCATCCCGTTCTAACCTCCGCTTTAGCATGGTTCTGATGGCGGCCTTGAGAACGCCACCGCCATCGACCCAAAGCTGCAGAGCTTGCTTCTGCGCAAGCAAGATGCACGCATCATCCCCTTGGCAGCAGGCATATACTTGCTCTGCTATCTCGACCGCTCCAACATTGGCAATGCCAAAGTTTTAAACGCCTCAACCAAGCATGACCTTCTCTCCGAAACCGGCATGTCCAACTTGGACTACACCATTGCTCTCATGGTGTTTCTGATTGCCTACGCGCTCTTTGAGGTGCCCTCTAACTACTTCCTCAAGCGCATGAAGCCAAGCCGATGGATCTCGTTCCTCATGTTCTCTTGGGGCACCATCACTATGTGTCTTGGCGCTGCCCACAACTACGGTTCTGTCACAGCTATGCGATTTTTGCTTGGCGTTTTCGAAGCAGGCAAGTACCACGCCGATTGCATCTCATTCCAAACCTAACAATTCAACTCAGGTTTATTCCCTGGCTTGGTATACTACTTGACATTCTGGTACCGCCCTGAAGAAAGATCTCTCCGTGTTGCGACAATTCTTGCTTCAGCAACGCTTGCTGGTGCATTTGGTGGCGCCATCGCCTATGGTGTCGGCCATATGAATCAAGTTGGCGGCTTGTCTGGTTGGCGATGGTTGTTCATCCTCGAAGGTGCTCCTTCGGTGGTATCGGCCGCATTGGTGTGGTTTTGCCTCCCTGACTATCCCGAGACAGCCAAGTGGCTTTCCCTAGAAGAGAAGGATCTTGCAGCTGCCAGACTGGCCGAACAAGGCTCTCACGGAAGCAGTAAATCCATGACCTGGGAAGATGCCAAGTCAACGCTCCTGGAATGGAGACTATGGTGCCACTACCTGGTGGGTGTTTGTCTTTCTCAGCTGACATCGTGCTGTTGCTAATTCGCACAACTACAGATCTACTTTGGCATTTCGGCACCATTCTCAAGTCTATCTTTGTTTACACCCTCGATCACTGCAGGCCTTGGGGTATGTTACCAGTCGCTTCAGGTTGATTCCAAGCTGACAAATTCCAGTTCGCAGACTTGAGAGCTCAGTTGATGACTGTGCCCCCATACGCAGCAGCGTACGTAGTCACGCTCCTCGTGTCTTGGTCAGCTGATAGATACAACGCGTTAGTGGCAACACCAATTATTTGTTCCGTGATCGAAGCTGACCCTACCAGCCGTGCCCTCCATTCTGCTGCATTCTCTCTCATTGGAGCTGTGGGCTTCATCGCATCTGCAGTCTTACCAGCTCATTCATATAGTGCAAGTAAAATCCAATTCCCTTTCGTAAACAACAGTGTGCTGACCTCTTCTAGCCTCGTTATGGATGTCTTATTGTTGCAGCTTGCGGTTCATTCGCCTGCATTCCTCCTCTTCTAGGCTGGCTTTCGTCCAACCTACAATCCACAGCTGCCATCGGGTTGGCAATTGCGTTGAATATCTCTATGGGAGCCCCTGGTCAGATTGTGGGAGTCTGGATTTACAAGGCCGAGGAAGCCAAAAAGGGATATCCAACCGGCCACTGGACTAATGCTGGATTGCTCTTGTTCGTGTCCGTGGGCTGTATCGTGATGCACTTCTACTATGTATGGAGGAACAGGCGTGCGGGAGCCGGGGACCCCATCTTCAAGTACTAAAGTCTGCAGGACCTGGGTAGCTTGCAGGAGTGGTTATCCGCCACGTGTCACATACTATATCGATAGGCGGCTATGGATTAGATCAGTCAGCCGGGTATCATTCCGATTAGCCATTAGATCTATTGATTAATGACTACTGTCACCCTAAATAGACTTTACAACAGCGGATAGTGTCCTGGTTGGCACCGCCATCCTTCTTACTCTCAGGGCCCCTCGTGCCAAGCAAGACCACATAGTCGACTCCCGTAGACTAAATCATCCTTCCTTTATGCTTAAGAGTTTATGCTAAACCTTTCTTGCGGTATGCGAGAAATAGTCGGGCTTGTATGCCAATGAGCGCTCGCCCGGACTTATCTCAATCATGTAATTAGTGTGTCGACGGTATTCAGCCACACAGCCTTGACTTGCCTCTATCAAGGAAATGCAAGAAATCTGCTTTAGTGTATTAGAATCTAATGCTTATTCTACTAAGTAATTCATATGCCATGTGGTGTCCGGCATGGCCGAGTATATCGCCCTCTAGCTGAGCAACCTTCATTGTGTTCAGCTCGCAGCCAAGAGAACCCCGTGGAACTTTCTCCATCAGTGGTTGGACAGTGTGGTAAACCTTCAGCCACTCCACATCTTGGCCGGCATATCTTACTAAGAAGCCGCAGAAGACGCGTGTCCAAAGGTCACGCCAAGGCCACAATCAGCTCAATCACCAGACACACAAACATGCAAATTGTCTCCCCAACAGAACAGCAGCTCACGGCGCTCCGGCATCACCGAGGTTCCCTGCTCCGTCTCCGCCATCTGACCCGCTGCGCCCAGCGCCGAGCCACAGCTGATCTTGACCCAATGCCGACGGATCCGGCCGCCAAGTCGTGGCAAAGTGCCGAAATCCGTGACGTTTGTGTCAAGCTAAGCTCTTGGACGGGAGCTGCGCCACCTTGACATGAAAGAAGTATGATATCAGCCGAGATTGATACCAAGACAGAAGACGTACCAGCGCCAAGCGATAGGTGGCTGTTGGTGGTCAGCTCGTGTTCAACCTTGATGACGACACCAGCTGCTGGGATATTAAATGGGAACCTGACCCCTCCTCTGTTGCGAGCTCAATTTGGTCCCCATAAACTTTTACTGCGTTATTCCAATCTCCCTAGATCAGTCACACGCTACCTACTTTACAACATCCAAACAATCTCAGACATGTCGGCTCAGGACTACTACAGTGGTGGAGGTGGAGGACAGCAAGGAGGCTACGGTCACCAAAGCTACAACCAAGACGGACATGGTCAGCAAGGTCGACAGGACTATGGCCAGCAGCAGGGCTACGGTCAACAACAGGGCTATCCCCAACAAGTGAGTTTCGAACCCGCGACGCCGAAACATCAAGCAACATACTAACAGCTTCATAGCAACAGTACTCACAGGGCTCCGGATATGGCGGCCCTCAACAGTCTGATCATGACAACCGCGGCCAATCCTACAACCAACAACAGGGTGGTCCTTATGGAGGCTCTTCCGCATACCCTGGTGGTGACCATGGTCAGGCCGGACCCGACGGAGAACGAGGACTCGGTGCGACCCTCGTTGGAGGTGGTGCAGCTGGCTGGGCTGCCCACAAGGCTGGCGGTGGCCTTCTAAGCAGCCTCGCGGGTGCCGCCGCTGGCGCAATTGGTGCAAACCTTATCGAGCACAAGTTCAAGAAGCACAAGAAGGACAAGAAGAACCACAAGGATGGTCGCCCTCGAAACTACTCCGGCGACTCAACAAGCAGCAGCGATTCCGACTCGGATGACGATCGACGACGTCGTCGTCGCGATGATGACCTGGCTTACGGTGACCGTGGCTACGATAATGATCGTCGCCGTCGTGAGGGAGACAATTTGCGCTATGGAGATTCTCGGCGGGATGACTACGATCGACGTGACGACGGTGGCTATGGGGGCCATCATCACGGCCAATCAAACTCTCGGTGGTGATCAATTCCATGGGTCTATTAGGGTTAGCAGTTTGTGAGGGGTTTTTCTTTATTCGATCGCCATAACGTTCTTGGCAATGAAAGTATCTAGATCCGATTCAATGTTCAAGTACCTCTCTAAAAGCGAGAACCACGTTTATCTTTCTCATTCCTTAGACAGGATCCCAACTGAAATAATCCCCACTTAGCCATTTGCAACTCAAAACTACTCTTTCTAGTGTTTGCAAAACGTATGGAATAAAACTGGGGCCGTCTCGCCAAGGTCATTGAGTATCACGCCGAGGGGAGAAAAATGGCAATTGTCACACTTTCCGATGGGTACTTCCGGTGATATAAGGCAAAATAACTACTCTTGATGCTCTATACTATAATTTCCTGGGCCATATGGTTCCGTCTATTCAAGTATGGATCGAGCGGTTGGATACCCCAGTCCATCAAGCATATGTAACACTATCAAACAACCTGGCGGATCAACAGATTGCAACACCGTCCTTTTGACAGGTAATTAACAATAAGGTACATAGAGAGAGTTCATAACAAAGTATATCCATATCTGTATTTGTTTTCTATTTCTCTCCACCAAGAGACTAATTAAAATGCACTAACCCCATGTCATGACCCTCTCAGAAGACATGCCCATCTCTTGGATTGGATATCCACTCCTAGTCTAGGCATTGATAAAATCATGATGGGCGAGCTCATAAACAAAACCAGTGGTGACCTTGACATGCTGAGCAATGTGGTCAAAGTCGACATAGGCAATTGTATCGTTGGGAGTGTGGATGTGAGGGTTGTGGTTTCCAAAAGGTGTTTCAAAGAGGAAAGACGAGGGGAATCCGTTGCGGTTGGCCGAGGCATGGTCAGAGCAAGCATAACCACACTGGGATTCTTCATATGGAATATCGGCATACTCCTCAATCAGAACCTTGAGAAAGTCGTTCTGGCCAGGATCTGTGTTGTCAGTGATGAGACCAAAGCGCTCAACACCGTCACGGCCCTTGTAGCCAACCATGTCCTGGTTCAACATGGCCTCGACCTGGATTCCAAGGCGAGCGTAGGTGTTGAAGATGTCCTGGGAGCCAAGTAGGCCAGTCTCCTCGGCCGAGTACCAGTGAAACTCAACAGTGTTGTCATGGTCACCCTTGGCAATTCTGGGGTCCTTGAGGAAAGCGTCTAGGACGTTGAGAAGCATGATGGAAGCCGAGCCATTGTCGTCGGCACCAGGGGCTCGACCGGCACCACGGTCGTTAGAAATGACAGAGTCAAGATGCGAACCGGTGATGATGGTCTTGAGGCGAACCTTTCCGGGGATGGACACGACGATAGATGGCTGTGACCAGGCTTGATGCTGGATCAACCGAACTGTGGCCAGAGGGTGCTTCTTGATAATCTTCTTGACCTCCTTGTGAAGCCATTCAGCGGCCTCAACTCCGTACTTGGAGTTAAAATACCGATTGTGGAAAGAGGAGAACTTTTTCAGTTGCTTCTCAATCTTCTTGAGGTCCACATTCTTGATGATCTTCTCAACGTTGGACTTGTGCTGAACCGCGCTAGGATAGGATGCAGCGGCTGCCATGAGACGGGCCGCTGACGTAGGCTGATGGTCCTTCCACTCAGTGATATCAAAGAAGTGGATGTGGTCCTGGGTGCTGTTAGTCACCGCCAGATCTCAAGGGCTCAGATTGAACTTGATAACCTACATCAATCATCTGGAACTTCTCATCTTCAGTCACCTCGACCGTCTCGCCGGGGGCGATTTCAAGTGTGAAAAGTTTGTCTGCACGCTCCTGGAGAGGTGCCTTTGGGACAGCGGCAGAGACAGAGGCGGCCAGGGCCACAAGGAAGGGGACGGTGTAACGCATCGTGAGTAGTGCTCACAGGCCCAATTTTGTAAACGAGAAGTAGTAAAAAGCCAGAGGATCCAGGTCAGAGAGCCCGTGTAGGGAATTGATCGGCGTCTGGTGGATGAGGACCAAAAAACAGCACGCAAAAAGTCGAGAGGAGGTGAGGTTCATATAGCTACGTGATCAAGGGCGGCTCTTCCGCAAGGTCCGGTTGCCCAGGGCCCAGTTACACCGATACCTCGTCATACCGCAACAAACACCCTCGTTGGTGATTCTGGGCGCCACTGCATAGTTGAGAGACTTTGGGAAAGATTTACTGGTCTCTGTGAATGCCAAGCTTCCCAGTGCTACCATGCTACTCCGCATGGGGCAGCTCAAGAGCTCCACGCCTCACCAGCAGCGAGCCAAGTCTAGGCACTTCTGCTCATTCAGAGTAAGACGGGGTTGGCAACGAGGGGTAAGATAAACAATGGCATCGCCAGAGTAGGCTTGTTCAGATATGCAAGGGATCCTAGGACATCAGCTAATTCTGTGGCTGGCAGGTCTTTACTTTGCTCACGGGAATACGGGGATTCGGTTAGTGGAGTGATAAGCAAGGAGCTTTATCTCTCAGTCGTATTGTGTGGTCCAGGTGTGTTTCGTGTGTTTATATTCAACCTTTCCCGACGTAGTGTACCATTGTCACAATCGATTGTCCTCTACGACGACCATTGTGAAGCCCAATGAATCACAACCAACTTATTTTTCCATCTTTCTTCTCAAGAATCCGAGAGAGGGGTAAGCCTTGGGTGTGAATGCGCCCAGGCCATGACAAAGACCAGCCTCGGGGGCCAATCCCTGTTTAGGCAGGTCACCAGGCACGCCGAGGGACGATGATCCTATCTCCAAAAGATCCAGGAGTGAATGCGGGGAACAGAAGCGGAATTCTTAATAAGCTTAAATCAGCCAGGATTTTGAGCCGGTTATTCACACGCCATTCTCGTATTGGTTACCGTTACCTACCGTTTTCACGCTTTGACTTAGAGCCATCAATGGTTGATGTACCTCCGGCCCAGCTGTCAAGGCCGTGGTGTTTTTTTCCCTGACACGCCGCTAAGTCCTGGCCAGGCTAGACGAAATACCATAACTGCGCGGGAGCGATAAAACTCTAATAGACGACACAAATTGTTGACAACAAGTCTCATATTTACAATTTACGTCACTGCCAATTTCTCAACACATCTCGGTCCAGTGCATCGTCCCACAGGGCACGCCGTCGACATGGGAAGTCTTTGCGGCTCCGAAAGACATGAATTCGGTGAGATGGCCGAGTTGGTTATGGCGTCAGGTTAAGGTCACCTTAACAACCTAAAATTCCTGATGGAGCAATCCTCCTGGGTTCGAGTCCCAGTCTCATCAAACTTCTAATCTTTTGCCCTCTGAGGTATTTTTTGCTTTTTGCCTTTTTGTCTCGCTCATCTTCAATGGAGGATTCTCCCGATCAAGTAGACCAACTTTGTGTGTAAAGGCTTGGAGATGACCATGTTGAAACAGGAGTGAACAACGACAAGGCCTATGGAAAAAAGACCTGCGACATGAACAGTCCACAAAAGAACAGCTCAATCCAGCAGCCAATAACCACCTTATCTGAACAAGGCCATGAACATCAAAACAAATCCAGCAACAACAGGGCCGAGATCGTATTTGAACATATAAGAAACTGGCAATGCTACCAGGAGGTGGGCCACCAGATTCCCTCCAACAAACTTGCTTGTACAGGTCCGAATCAGTAAAAATGAACATCTACCTATTGTCTTTCCTCCCAGTATTTCTACTGGCAGATTCACTATTATCTCAACTCTGGTCCAGATTATCTGCAACACATCCCCTTGCAAGCTCAACTCACACCAAAAATGGCACCTGGATTCGCCCGACTGTCCCCCAAGCTGGGCCTTGGACAGATATTCTAGATCAAGTTCAATCACAGCTTAGGTTTGTCGCGGAAGATATCCCCGACTACACCACCTCGAGGGCTATTCTGTCAATGGCTATTCCGGTAAACGAAACCATCATCTTTCATCAAGCTCACCGAAATCTAAGCATTATTCGGCAAGAGAACCTAAACCCAGCTGGACCAAACAACCCAATCACCGAGCTTTTCCAAACCATGAAAAATGAACCCTCAAAAACACTTAACTTTAACCAAACGCGGTGGCAATCGGTCGCATCCAGGTCAGAACGCAATCGGCTCATCAAACACGGTACAGTTCTACTAAGAACTCTCGAAGATGCCCACATATCTCGACAAACCGTCATAGACGTGGTTAGGAGAATACGACAGGACAGCCTAGATGACCTTACCCATCAAATCTGCGGTGTCTCGGAGGAGCTTAAAATTCACGCACGTAGAGCAAGGGTATTTGGCTGGCCTATCCACATCAACCTACAAGAGACCCATGAAGCAACCCATGGTGTCTGCAGCCAGGCTCAGGATGTTGAAAAGGATTTGAGGGCGTTGTTTGATAGGGTAGGCATCGAGATGCAAGCTATCAGGTCTTTGATACGCCAGGTCGAAACAGTGATCTCAGACTTACGGAAGAACAAACCCTTGTCAGAGGAACCTATACGCCTTTATGAGTCTGAATACTTTTGGATTGGTGAGTCGGCGATTAAACTTGTCGAGGTGGGCTGGCTTGAACTGTAGGTATTAACTGGTGTGCGATTGAATTCACAGCGCAGGTTTATATTGTAATGTTTCTTGTTGATCCATAAAAGCATTAATGAATGTTCTATTTTACGTTGGCAGTTGTGCTTTCTCTTATGACTTAGAATGGTATGTCACTGATAATGTAAGTGTTAACACCCATCCACCTAGACTTCATTCCTTAATTGAAAGTAATCCTGTTTCGAGTGTTAGTATGTTCAGCCAGTGTCACAGACAAAACACAAGAGCGCATCAAACCAAAGGTAAGTTAAAAGCAGGATAACAGCATCGTACTATCTACATAATGAGCAACTCATCGCTTCCCTCTCATTGTGCCGTGCTTCTACAGGGTAAGTGGATGTACTCAGGGCAGAACCACCTTGTTTGGATGACTGCATCCCATCTCTTCCGATTGAGGGAATGACCAAGCTGGAATTGAGCAATGAATATCATTAATTTCTTCAGTAAGAAAAATTGACCTCGACCAAAGTCAGGTACTCGATATATCTCTTGAGGTGCAAAGGGACTGTGCCTACCAATGCACTGGCAGACGCAATTGCCCCGCTGGTTATGCACCCATAAATCGTTATGCAAATTGGTGACAGAAAATCGCCGAAATATGCATAAGGATTCATAATGATGCATATGGGGCATAAAATGAATGCAAACAGGACCCACATCAGCACCTTCAGCCAATCAGTCTCATTAAGGTCTCCGACGGCCTTTCTCCGACGGCCCTTTCGGGGGCTCTCCGAAAGGTGTCTTCCATCTTTGATCTGCATTGCCTGGCATTTGAGATGTGTGTTACTCCTTGTCAAGTCGCAGCTGGGCTAGTAAGTCTGTCCGTATCTACATAACGACTGCTATATCCGAGGTTGAATCGGGTCGGAGTCTTCGGTTTCCATTATTAATTGTTCGAATTATTAATCACCCCGCCTTTGTTTACTCGCATCGTGAAATAAAGCCAAGAGTCATCCCCATTCTGACAAACACCACAAGCCAAGATCTACAAACAATTTTCTGTCTTTTCAACATGAGTGACAATTCTCAGTGGACCATACACCCTGTTGTGCTCCACCGCATTCCGGTTTCTTCGGTCTGCCAATCTGCCATCGCCCTGGCTCGCAATGCACTGCCTAAGCCCATCTTGAACCACTCCTTGCGCGTTTACCTTTTGGCGCTATGGCTGGCCGAAAAAGAACAGTCGAGTTTCGCTTCCGACCCTCATATGTCCCGCCTCTTTGTTGCAGCTATCCATCACGACATGGGTGCTAGCGATTTGTACAACGGTTCACAACGGTTTGAGCTTTGCTCTGCCGACTGCGCAAAGACTCATCTCCTTGAACACGACTACTCGGAAGCGGAGTCTCACCAAGTCTGGACTGCAATTGCAGTGCATACGTCTCCAGGTATAGCGGAGCGCATCGACCCGCTCTCCAGACTAATCCGACTTGGTGTGAATATGGACTTTGGATCTGAAGAGTACAGGGAAAGGATGGGAGTGACTGAGTTTTACAACGAGATCGAGAAACTTTTGCCGAGGTTGGAAGTGGAAAAGAGCCTGGGAGATGCTGTGGTGAAGCAAGCCAAGAAGATCCCGCATGTGGACAGCCTCACTTGGCCCAGCGACGAAAAGTTCCCGTTGGGAAGCTGGCCTGGTATTTTGCTGAGGGCACACGCTGAGAATCCAGATCATGTCGGAGTGAATCCCGCTTTTTGATATGAACCGAGAAGCTCCAAGGCGGTTGAAGGTCAACGCCCAAACAACCGATGTACAGTAGATTAAAGCTTGTGCTAGGAACAAGCGAGAATTAAACACGAGTTTAACTCTGTCATATCAATGGCAACCCACAAGAGACACGTCAAGAGGGTCTTCCCCCCGAACTGTCCTCCATCTGTTGGAAGATTGGACAAGCTCTTCACACCCCACGACAGCCCATGCCCATTTGATCAAAAATTCGGGGGTAACCTCCCAGTTCTCTTGAGAGGATGGCTCCCCCCAAAGTATGAGACCATTCTTAATGTCGTCTGTTTCATTGACAACGGGTACTCCTTGTGAGACAGTTATCGGCGCATAGGTCAGATATCCGACGAGATCCGACAGAAATTGCCCGTGATGAAACAAGTTTTGCCGACGTAGGAGATTATCTCTGATCTTTGGGAATGGGAGTGCATCGATCCAGGTAGGATGTGGTAGGTTCATCTGAAGCTGTGTTGGCTGAAGGCAGGCTGGCATGGGTTGGTGTGTTTGTCTAAAGACAGATATCTCGCACTCGGATGTTATTGGATGGGGTAACACCTCGCCCATGGGACTGATGAAGCTCCCCAAAATTTTGAGCATATCTTTGTTTGACAAGATTCCTCGGCATACATTGTAGCCTATGAGAGGTAAAAGGACGTGATCAATGGGCAGTGAGATGCGCAGACAACTAGGCTTGGTAGTAGACAATTGACCCGGAGCCTGGTAGGTGTTTGGGGCTTTCGATGGCAATGCCCGACCATCGTCATGCTCTGAGGTGGATTTATTGGCCGCATGATCCCTTGGACTCGGGTCCGGAGCTTTCGGGGCTGGCTCTGGAAGGGCCGGAGTTTCATCAAGTCGCCAGCGGGTAACTTGGTAAGGACCACACTGCTTATGGGTGCTATTTTGATCTCTCAGACGTTGCCCTGTTCTCCAATTAGACAAAATGATCGCTTGTCAGGATATAGATGTGGTCTTACTGCGTGCCCTCTGATTGATCCGATTCTGGAGCTTCTTGCGCTCCTTTCGTTCCTCGGCGGTGTGTTGGCTAGCAGTCCCCATCTTTATGGAACGATAGGGAGGATGGTTGCAGAAGGAAAAAGAAGAATATGTTGATTTTTAACAAGCCAGTGTCAAAATGGTAATTTCTGTCAGCCGTTCAAGACAATATTGTAATCCAAGGAGGAATTTGGTGGTTATTATCTTGGACCCAAACCTTAAGGGGCAAAAATGTCACCCGGCGACAAATCCGGATATTGACCTAAACTCCGACGCTACACCAAAAGGGGAAATTTTGGTCAGTCGCAAGAGCTGCTATTTCGCCGACCGGGAGTGAATGGGCCAATCACGAGTGAAGTATGGGGCTTTCAGATATGGAGCAAGAATGGCATTCATGGACGCGGAACAAGGGACCATGCCTTGGTAATTGAGTTTCAGGATGGCGAGCTATGAGGACGACGAGGCTTCGGGTGAGCCGTCAAGTCCGCGAAGCCGACATTATAAAGGAGCTCAACATGCCCTCGAGAACTCAAGTCTCCAACACAAACCTCAAGCTCACTCATCCAATCTTCTTTCACAGTTTTCACCAACATCTTAACTATACACCATGTCTCGATACGCCGCAGCTCACGCCAACCCTCAGGGACCTGGAGATACGAGACCAACCGCATTGCAAATCATCAAAGATGAGGGGATGGAAGGCAAACTGAATGGCAAAGTCATTGTTGTCACTGGAACCTCATCTGGAATCGGAATCGAGACAGTTCGTGCTCTCTCGGCCACTGGAGCAAAATTCTTCCTGACGGCTCGAAATCTTTCCAAGGCAAAGACTGCTTTGGAGGGAGTCTTTGACCCTGAGCGCATGGAACTCGTTGAGATGGACCAATGCTCGCTCGAGAGCGTTCGGGCCGCGGCGAGCCAGATCTTGGCTAAGACAGACAAGATCAACATCTTGATTAACAACGCCGGAGTCATGGCAATTCAGAATCTCGAGTTTACTAAAGACGGGCACGAAGCGCAGTTTGGAACCAACCACTTGTCTCACTTTCTGTTCTTTGAGCTCTTGAAGCCCGCCCTGCTCGCTGCCACCACACCTGAATTTAACTCTCGCGTTGTTATCGTTTCATCTATGGCGCATCTGTCCAACGGCATCAACGATTCAGACAACTATAACTACCAAAAGGGCGGATATACCCCTTGGGGTGCCTACGCCCAGTCTAAAACGGCCAATGTCTACATGGCCAATGAGCTCGAACGACGATATGGATCTCAAGGGCTTCACGCGACAAGCCTACACCCTGGCGGGATTCTGACCGGTCTTTCGCAGCATATCCCCGACAGTGAACTCGAGGCGTTGAAGGACGATAAGAAGCTCATGGAGCAGCTTAAGAGCCCCGAACAGGGTGCTGCCACCACTGTCTGGGCCGCGATTGGAAAGGAGTGGGAGGGCAAGGGAGGAAGGTACTTGGAGGACTGTAGGGAAGCAGAGCCATCTAAGGATAAGAAGCCTCCCACTGGCTCCGGCTATGCCGAGTATACCTACGACCCAGAGAGGGAAGGTCGTCTTTGGGAGGATTCGCTAAAGCTTGTGGGACTGGCTTAACCGTTTATGAGGCATTTAGAGGCCAGAAAGTATGTTCGCTGAGACATTATCAATTTATAGACCAACGCTAAATAAAGCACTTGGATGGATTGTAAGAAGTTTGTGACCGTTGCCATGTTTCTGACATGTCATAGCATATCCTCAAGTCTTTGATTGAGGGAGTAGACCTTCACCTTGGCATGGACTAGACCTGCAGATGGACCGCTCCAGGCAATGGGCCCAAAAGCCACTTGCTCCAAGACAGGCCAAGGCAGTATAAAAAATGCAGCCTGAAGCCAGTGGTACTTCAGCCAAGGCATACCGCCTTCGGGTTGTTCCGCATGTAACTGGTCATGCGGGTAGAGACAAACGAGACGATAGAGTATAATCATAAGTATAAGAAATCAATGTAAAGGACTACCATGAAATTATATAATAATCTAGACGATTTTATGTATTTTTATTATATTTTATCAATCATAATTAGGAGAGAATATACTAATATGTCTATCCTAGTGCCTCGTTGACCCAACTGCTGATGTCAAGTTTTAAGTCTATTCCGCCTTGCCGCAACCTTACCGCATTACTCCTTGCTGTTGCGGAGTACCTCCTCTGAACCGCAAAAGCAAACCGCATACCAAAGCCCTGACAGCCACCGTTGAACAAACCGGAGCTGACCTATGTGGACAGTCCGCTGACGGTCATGTGCTGAATCATGGCGCCTGTGCTGGACGGGCTTAAGCCACAGCAGCAAATTGAGGGGGATCTTGCCTATTGCCGCTCCATAATTGGATACTAACTGTGCTGTTTCTTGGCATTACGTGTGTGCATCAGGAAATGAAGGATGGACCTTGAAGTACAGTGGGTGGCATATTCAGCCATGAATGTGGGAGAAATAGAAAAGAAATACAAGGGATGCGTTGGGCGACATTTTGTTTCACCCGACCCTAAGCTGAGAGACTCTCCTCAATCTTGGTCACGCCTGCTATGATTCACGGAAACCCTTCAACACCTGCGACGCTGGGAGTCTGGATAGACTATTCTAGAGATGTCATCTCGTCAGCGACTTTGACGCTCAGCAACAGGGACGCCGCTGTACTTTTGGCTTTCCTCGCTACTCTTGTCGCCATTACAGGAGTTCGAAGCTGGAGAATCAGCCGGTTTGCCATGTACATGGCCTTCGTCCCTAGACAATATCACGTCGAAGCCAGCATCGATGATCAGCTACTTCCACAACAAGTCATCCTCCGCAATTCTGAGACAGCTACTGGAGCTGCAGTCGGCCTCCTCAGCTACACATATGTCAACAAGGAAGCCGAGGCTGCTGGGACTCGACACAAGCTAAAGGGAACCTTGTTCAGCGTGATCGCGTTGGGCCACTGGGCCACCTTTATCTTCCTCTCCATCTTCACCTCCCAGATAGTTCTCGGTAGAACTGTCGTCTCCAGGGCTACCTCGAGCTGTGGCAAATGGGGAGCAGACCTCAACAGCTCGAGCTCGGACTTCAACCTGGTATACAACGAGCTGGGACTCAACGCCACGCTTGATGCTGACAATTATGTCCAAAATTGCTACTTCAACCACGTCAAATCGGGCATCTTTGACTGCGAAAGATTGATGAGTCAGGCTATTGACGTCTCAGTCTCTCACGATGCCGAATGTCCGTTCCCCAGCAATGTATGTCGAACCAAGTTTGCCCTCGCCGTCGACACGGGCAATGTCAGCCTCGCACACCTTGGTATCAACACGAGGCTTGCCCACGAGCTCTATTTTCGACGGCGTAGCGTGTGTGCCCCTATCCACGAAAGTCTTTTCTACGTTGGAACTTATACGTCAGCAAACCTGTCGTGGTTCAAGCCTGATGAAAAGATGGACATTTACCGCTTCATAACGCCGACTGATGATTTTCCCATGATGGATCATCTCGTACGCCACGACAATCGGAGCGCCGCCTACAAGCTTGATGCCTACCATTTCCCATTCCCCTATCCGCTGCCTGAAACTTTGGCTGCTCCTTTGCACTTCAAAGAGCAACTACGCGACGGTTCCCACGGGCCGAGCATCGTACTGCTCAGTGGCCGAGGCATCACATTCAAAAACAAATCTGACGACGCCCTCTGGTCTGTTCATACGGAGGTTGAATACCCCAATGGAACCTTCCAGGGTCTTGACCTCACCAAGTTGCCCCCGAGATATAGAATGGATAGGGTCCTGAATATTATCGGCTGTGACGAACGATTCCAGCTGTGTTCTAAGCATACCAACCGCTGTCTCCCATGGTCGGGACTGATACCCTTGGTGGATGCAGAGGCCATTGACGATAGAGCCAGCTCAGATGTTCAAATAGGACGGGATCTCATCACGGCTGTATCTCTACTCAATACTGTTATACTCGACACGAGTATTCCGGCTGTTATTGCTGGGCGTGACGGATCGTCAGTGCTGAGAGCCTCTAGACACACGAACAACGGGGAACAGTACTACCTCGAAAAGGAGCAGTGGAAGACAGAAGTCACGTATTGGTTCGCGGTGGCAATGGCCAAACTACAACTCGGCATCTTCAATACCATCCAGGGGCCGAACGGTCTGCGTCCCACCGACACCGTGAACCTCTGGGCTGATTCGCCGATGATGAATATCTGTGGCAGGGTAAAGTATCGCTCTGCGGATCACACTTCGCTCAGCTTTGTTGGTGTGGTCGTTGTCATTGTGGTCTCGGCGTTTCTCATTGCTGTGAGCCTCTTCGATATCATTATTGATTGGGTACCCAGGAAATGGAGTGGAAGAAGGCTGATGCAATGGGAAGCATCAGAGAGCTTGGCACTTCTGGAGCGGAAGAAGAGATCTGGACATGATCGGGAGAGGGAGTCTTCAGCTGATGGACCGCAGTTGTTAGTTGAAGAGGCTAGGCCTAAGCCTACTTGAATTGTTATCGGTCTGTATGTTAGAGATTGTTTCTTTGTTTTGGTGATAATTAGTTGAACTTGCTTAGCACAATATGAAATCTTCACTCATTCTCAGCCTTCAGAGTTCTCCCAAACCTCCGGTTCATGGTCCT